ACAGTAGTAAATTCACTGTCTGCTGATTGGCCCAAAGTCATGCAGTTGGCTTTCATGCCTAAGGCGGGACTAGAACTCACGGTCTTCTGCTGATTGACCCAAAGTCACCTAGCTGCTCCATGCCTAAAGTTGGACTAGAACTCACTGTCTCCTAGTGATTGGCTCAAAGTCACCCAGCTGGCTTTCATGCCTAAGGTGAGATTAGAATTTACAGTTTCTTGGTTTCCAGACTGGCTCTTTGACCACTGAACTAAACTGTCTCTCGGATAGTTATTTATTTATATGCCAGGCTTATACGCCACTCCTATCAAAGCCAAATCTGCAGCTTCCATTATCTATTGCCTCGCCCGCCATGCTGAAAAATCCTCCATGGGAATTAACCCTCCTGCACTTTTCCGTTTTGCAAAGAAACGATGGGAGCCAAAGAATTTACAAATGCAGACCTGCCAATTTGTGCAAACGGTTAGCTGTGTAGTTGCTTGGAACTCTCTTAGGTGCTCATGCAGATTCAGAGCCTCCTTTGTCTCTGAGGTCTACAGGCAAGTATCTGACTGTCGAAAGAAATGGGGGGGGGGGCTTTGTGATAAAAAAGGAAAGAAATCCAGATGTCTAGGATAAGCATCTCTTCTGTCCGACAGCTCACCTAAGGATCAAACACAACTTCTGGAGGAGGGAACGAATGGATTGGCAATATTTGTGCGCGAGGGTTTTTTCCCTCACTAGAAGCACAAATGGCCAGGCTCAAGTTATCATATTTTGGGCAGGTTATGTAAAGGCCCAGCTTCTGGTAAAACTGATGCAGCCTTAGTAGTACAGTGGTCTAAGGCACCCTGTTATTAAGCTGGTTATTAAGACCAGATGCCTGCAATTACTGCAGGTTCGAATCTCGCCAAGGCTCAAGGTTGACTCAGCCTTCCATCCTTTCTAAGGTAGGTAAAATGAGGACCCAGATTGTGGGGGCAATAAGCTGACTTTGTATAAATATACAAAAGAATGAAGGCTATTGCTTAGCGCATTGTAAGACGCCCTGAATCTCCGGAGAAGGGCGGCATATAAATCAAATTTAAAAAAAAAAAAACTACCCTGTTTCCCCAAAAATAAGACCCAACTGGAAAATAAGTCCTAGCATGATTTTTCACTATGCTCATACTGTAAGCCCTACCCCCAAAATAAGCCCCAGTTAAGATTGCCAGCCAGATGGGTGCATTTAGTACCGTATTTCCCCCCCCAAAATAAGACCTAACCAGAAAATAGGCCCTAATGCGTCTTTTGGAGCAAAAATTAATATAAGATCTAGTCTTATTTTGGGGGAAACACGATAGTATAGGAGGAACAAAAGAGAAGAAGCTGGAATCAGTTACTTGGTGATAGAAGTAAGTTTGGAAGATCTGAAACGCTAAATTAGGGACAGATCGCCGCAGAGAAGATCTGTCCATATGGTTGCTAAGAATCCCCACAGATCCGATGGCTCATATTCAACCAACCTGAAGTTCCATGCCGATTCTCAGCCCTAAAGTCTTCCCATCCTGCCTCTTCTCCCCTTCTCTCTTCTAATCCGCCGTATCCAACTAGATGCAGGTTTTTGCGTTCTTGACATAAAGATACGAGAAGGGGAAAATAATAATAATGCAAGCCTTTGTTGGATTCGCACGCGGGGCCTGAAAACGAGATCCGTGGTTCAACGTTTAAAAAGAAGACTTTGGTTTTCAAAATTTACCATGGCCCCGCCTTCCTTCTCTTAAATCTCTCGGTTGAAAATGTAGGGTATCTCCGAATAAAACAGAATTGCAGCTGTTATTATTTCACTCCGCAGATCAAGAAATAAACCTGCCCTTTTCGAGTGGGAGAGGAAAACTCACATTTTTTTTCCCCCTTCCCACGCAACCTTCTGCCGACGATGCTTTGTTTTCTACATCTGCCATTCTCGAATAACGTTAGAAAATATGAACATCTCTTATCAGATTTCAAAAAGGACGTGGAGGTTAACTAGGTCTCCAGTTCGTGTCTTACGATCAAGGTGTGGCCGAGAAAAATCTCCTCCGACAATGTGCATAAAACGATAAAAAAATAATCGTTTAAAACATAATAAATGGATTAAAAAGAAAACAAGAGACGAATAAACTCAAGGGGCAGCCTTGATGGGCCCCTGAGTCTTTTTCTGCCGTGTCAATTTTCTATGTTTCCTCCTACAGGCGAAGATATTGAGGAGGGGGGAGTCACGTTTTCTCCCCCACCCTCACAGTCTCCTGCTACACCCCTCCCACAAATGCCATCGTGGCTGAACAAATCCAATTATTGGTGGATTGATTTTATTTTATTTATTAAATTTATACGCCGCCCATCACTTGTGCCCCGATCTCTGGGCAGCTTCTAAAGAGGACAAGAAGATTTTTATTTTTTTTAAAAGAGAGATAATACAAAATTGACAAAGAAACGCCAGTTGACACTGGAGCTACCAGTTCCTGCTTCAGGCTCCAAGATCTCCTTAGTGATGGGCTGGTGGCGTCTCCCACCACCCAGCTACGGGGGTGGGGGGTGGGGGTTGCAAGCGTGGCTGCGGATTTTGTGCAGCCTCTTCGGGGAGGATGTTGGAGAAGGCGTGGCTGGTTGGGGTAGTAGGAATATTTGCTTGCCAGGTTCTCGCCTGGGTGGGTGCAACGGTTTGGCTTGGCTGGGCATCAACTGCAGCTGAGCTTCCACTGCTGGTGGCTCCTCGGCTTGCTAAACGGGGAAGGGACCCGGAATCGCTCAAGGAAGCAAGTGAAAAGATACTGAACGGGCCCAGAGGAAAAAAAAGATACGCTTGGTTTTTGTTTCGGCTGCAGACATGGTTTGCTCCTTTTGCCCGATAGGTTTCTTGAGATGTTCCCTCCCGTTAGCATCTTCCTGCTTTTAAGGGGCAGGAGAAAACTGGGAAGAAAACAGGTCTTTTATTCACGCGGGGATCAAATCCATCCATCCATCCATCCATCCATCCATCTGTCTCAGCTCGTCGGATTCCACCTTCCTGCAGAAGGGTGGGGTGGTGATGGGGCCGATAGGGAGGGCTGGGCTTTGTCTTCGGCTAATCTCTTCCATCTTCGGCACCTTCTGGTTGTTTTTTTGTTTTAACGGCAGTCGTCCCGTTAACCTTGCAAGCTCTGGATTTCCTTCTTCTAGCCTCCACCCCCCATCCAATAATTGCATCCGCTAATCCAGTTTGAGAAAGAAGATGGGTACCAGTTCTCCAAGGCAAACCTGGCAGCTGTAAGAACCCCTTTGTCATTGTCAGGAAATTGAAATATCTTGCTGGCGGGGGAGTGAGGGGGTGGGGGGGAGAGAAGCAGATTGTTTCCAAGCGCCATATGGGGAATGCACCTGGTGCTCCCCTCCCCTCTCTTCCTCCCCCCCCTCCTCCCTTTCACAGAAGCTCCAGGATCTTCCACTCCCAAGGCAGAGGAAGCTGGGCCCAGTCCTTGGCTTCATCTATAAGCCGTTTCTGCACGAAAGTCACAAGAGGTGGGGCTGTTGCCCCAGCCGCCGCCCCCCCCCTTTCCACCTCTGCCTGTCTCCTCCAGCCAGCTGCAATGAACGTGGGTTTTCTGGCATTGGGGGGTGGGGTGGCTCCTTTTCCGAAGGCATCTCCTGGTTCCTGCTGCCTCCGAGCATCCTTAAGCAGAGGGCAAGACTCTCTGCCAGAGCATTTTGAGAAGGTGCGAGCTCACCAGTGCTGCGTACACACCCCATAGCCACAGCACCTTCCTGCCAGCCAGTTTGTGCATTTTTGCACATTGCCTTCCCTTCTCACTGACCATGCCTAGCAGTTGCTCCTGGTAATATTTCTGGGGTGTTTTCTCTCTCTCTCTCTCACTCTCTCTCTCTCTCTCTCTCTCTCTCTCTCCCTCTCCCTCCCCCATCTCTCTCTCCATCTCTCCATCCTCCCTCTCCCTCTCCCTCTCTCTTTAGAAGAGGACAAATGATGGAAGGTGATTTGCGCTTTCCATTTCTAAAACTCTCAGAAACAGAAACAGAGAAAACCCGACGGCGGAAAAAAACCTAGCGGGACATCGAGTCTGCCCTTCTGAGTTTTTTTTTTTTTTTAAATTATGTTTAAAAAAAAATTTTTTTTTTTGGTCGGATGACGGACATGCTGTTTGTCCCAAGGATGTTTTTAAAGGAGACTTTTTTTTTTTTTCCCCAACACGGCACAGCTCTTAAAAAAATAAATAAAAATCTTTGCAAACCTTCCTTGGCTTAGATTTGCCCAAACGGGTCCGATTGTACTAGCCACACACCATCCATCCGCTTTAAAAAATAAAATAAAATAAAGATGGAAGACGTAACCCAAGACACGTTTAGGATCGGAGAGCAGGCGCAGGCATAGAAACCCCTTAAGAACAGGACCCCCCCGCATGTCTCTCTGCCCACCCTGCCCCACCCCCCACCCCATCCCCATCCAGGCCTTCTTCTCTGGGAAGGGAAACGGGGTGCAGCTCTGCAGTGGTTAGCACAGCCCCTGCGGGAAAAGATTGTTGGGGCACGAGTGTTGGCTCTCCTTCAGCACCATAGAGGGACCACTCCCTCCTAGAAAGCTTGCAGCTCTCCCCCCTCTGATACGGCTAAGCCAAACGTCTTTTTGCAAATAAAAAAAATAAAAAAATCACATTTGGGGACCATTTCCAGTTGGTAACAGAAATCTCTCATCATCATGCCATGGTCGCAGGCAAATCTACCTTATCCTCAGCCCATCCACGCAACCTGGACACCCCGAAAAGCAAAATAAAGAATAAGAATTAAAAGACAACGATGCTTGGCTTTATGGAGAGAGCTTTGCCAGGGGAAGAAAAACCCCTCTATCACAACCCCAGGCTCGGAAAGGAGAAGGGCGAATTGCCTCCAATCTTGCAAAAAGGAAATAAAAATACTGCCCTGGAAGGAGACGGCTGCAGAGAAAGCCAAAAGAAGAAGAAGAAGAAGAAGAAAAGAAAAAAAAAGGGAAGCCATCCCTGGTTTTACGGTACCTGAAACGGTGCTGGCCATGGTGGGGATGGTGAGATGGGCGGTGGAAGGACGGCTGCAGAATGCAGAGGAGGAAGAGAAGGAGCAGGCTGCCTTGTGCTGCCGGAGTACTGCAATGCTGTGGAAGGAAGGGGAGCTGTGACTCAGCTGGAGGGGGGCTGTGGCTCTCCGAGGAGGGAGGAGAAAGAGGGGGACGCCTGTGCGAAGGGGAGGGAGGGAGGGAGGGAAGGAGGCTACAAGGAAAAGAAAGGAAGAAAAGACACAAGGGTGGCCAGATCGGAAGACCCAACTGGCTAGCGAGACTTGGCTTTGGAGAGCCAAAGCTTTCCAGTTTCTTAGGGGTGGGGGAAGATGTCGAGGCTCTGGATAAATGGGGCGAGGAGGAGAGACACACCCAAATATTGGAGATTCCCCCAATGCAGCCCTTTTCTGGTTCAGCACCGATAAGAAAGGGACCAGCTACCCATCGGTTGTTCCTGAAGGCTAAAACATACGAAGAACGGTTGCAGGAACTGGGTATGTCTAGTTTAATGAAAAGAAGGACTAGGGGAGACATGATAGCAGTCTTCTAATATTTGAGGGGCTGCCACAAAGAAGAGGGGTGTGTGTGTGAACCTCTTCTCCAAAGCACCTGAAGGCAGGACAAGAAGCAACTGATAGAAACTAATCGAGGAGAGAAGCAACTTAGAACTAAGGAGACATTTCCTGATAGGGAGAACAAATTAACCGGTGGAACGACTTGCCTCCAGAACTTGTGAATGCTCCAACACTGGAAGTTTTCAAGAAGAGATTGGAAAGCCATTTGTCTGGAATAGGGTCTCCTGTTTGAGCAGAGGGTAGACTAGAAGACCTCCAAGGTCCCTTCCAACTCTGTTATTCGGTGGGAACGGCTTTGTCTCCAGACGCTGTGCGTGCCTCATCACTGGAGCTTTTTAAGAAGAGACTTGACACAGCCATTTGTCTGAAATGGTATAAGGCAGTGATGGCTCACCTTTTTGCCGTCGCGTGCCAAAAGTGGGGGAGACTATGGGAGGGTCGCGTGCGTGCGTGCCCACACCGATAATTCAATGCGCCCCACCCTCCTGTGCATGTATGCGTGACCCCCCCATGCTCCCCCTGCTTTTGGCACGCGATGGCCCAGTGGGCCTGATAGGCCTGCTTTTTGCCCTCCCCAGGCTCCAGAGGCTTTCTAGGAGCCTGGGGAGGGTGAAAACAGCCTCCCCCACCCGGAGGCCCTCTGGTGGCTGGAAATGGCTCATTTCCCGACTTCCGGTGGGCCCAAAAGGCCCAAAAATCAGTGGCTGGCACACGCATGCATGCTGGAGCTGAGCTAGGGCAACGCTCACGTGCCCACAGATATGGCTCCGTGTGCCACCAGTGGCACGCATGCCATAGGTTTGCCATCACGGGTATAAGGTTTCCTGCTTGAGCAGGGGGTTGGACTAGAAGACCTCCGAGGTCCCTTCCAACACTTGTTATTCTCTGTTCTTCTTCATCTTCTTGGGGAGTTGGAAACCGCATAGAGAAAAAAGGCAGGAGGGAATGACTTTCCCCAAAACCGCCACCGGAAAGATTTCGCTGAAGGCCTTGGGAGGTGGATGGAGAATTGGGTTAACGTGGATAGAAAATGTGAGCTGTTGGATTCCCCTTGGCTGAGCTTTGTATTGAAAAGCTCCGAACAGATGCCAAAACGATTTAGCTCACGTTTCTAGGTTTTGCAGCTGGACTTCTACATAGAGAAATTTGTGGTTCGGTCGCTAAATCGTATCCGACTCTTTGCAACCCTCTGTTTCCCACCGTCTCCTGGAGTTTGTCCAAATTCATTTTCGTTGAGTCAATGACACTATCTAAACATATCTCATCCTCTGCTGTCCCCTTCTCCTTTCGCTTTCCGTCTTCCCCAGCATCGGGGGCTTCTCCAAGGAGTCCTCTCCAGGGGTGGGATTCAAAAATTTAGCAACTGGTTCTCTACCTGGTTGCTGGGTGGGTGTGGCCATGGTGGGCGTGGCCTAGTTGGCCTCCTGCACCACGGCGGGGGGACGGACCTTTTCGTCCTCCCCAAGCTCTGGAGGCCCTCCAGAGGCCAGAAATGGCTCCGTTTCCGGACTTCCGGAACTTCCAGGAGGCCCGTTTTTCACCCTCTCAGAGTCTATGGGTGGGCGCTGTACTTACCTGGCATCCCAAACAGGCTGTGTGGAGACACCTGGGAGGGGAGGGGAGGGGTAGGCGGGGCCAGCTAGTCCTGGCAACTACCGGTTTGGCGAACCAGATGTAAAATTAGCATCCGATTCTCCCAAACCGGTTCGAATTAGCTGAATCTCACCCCTCTCTTCTCATTTTCGGCCAAAGTATTTGAGCTTCAGTTTCAGGATCTGCCCTTCTATATGACAGTCAGGGTTGATTTTTAACCTTTAATTGGGAGGCGCTGAGAGTGGGCTGAAAGATGGGCAGGTATAAAAAAAACTTGAAATAAATTAAAATGGCCATTTAGATAACATTCAATTCCCTTCCTTTTTCTCTCTCTCTCTCTCTCTCTCTCTACCTCTCCCTTGCTCGTTTGAGCCTTTAAAAAATAAAGAGTCTTTTTAAAGGGCTCCTATAAAACTGTGTGTTTTTATTTCTGTTTTATTGATCTGCAGTTTTGCTGAGCCTTCCGATTTTTCTTTTCACTGTCTTCTAAATTTCTATTAACTTTTTAAGAATTCAGATCATTTTGCAAATCATCCTGACATAGTACAGGTAGTCCTCGACTTACAGCGGTTCATTTTAGTGACTATTCAAAGTTACATCATCACTGAAAAATGCGACTGATGACCGTTTTTCAGACTTACGACCGTTGCAGCATCCCCATGGTCACATGGCCAAAATTCAGACAGTTAGCAACCTACTCATATTTATGACGGTTGCAGTGTGATCCTCTTTTGCGACCTTCTGACAAGCAAAGTTAATGGGGAAACCAGATTCGTGTGACTAACGATAAATGAGATATTTGTTAAGTGAATTTTGTCCCTTTTTTTTTTTTTAATTTGATTTATATGCCGCCCTTCTCCGGAGACTCAGGGTGGCTTACAGTGCGTTAAGCAATAGCCTTTGTACTTTTGTATATTTTTACAAAGTCACCTTATTGCCCCCACAAACTGGGTCCTCAATTTACCTACCTTAGAAAGGATGGAAGGCTGAGTCAACCTTGAGCCTGGCGAGATTCAAACTTACTTTAATTGCAGACAGCTGGAGTTTAATTACAATGCATTAGTCTGCTGAGCTATCCAGGCTCGTAGCTATGCAGTTGTAAACTGTGGCAAGAAAGGTCGTAAAATGGGACAAAATTCACTTAACAAATATCTCATTTAGCAACATAAATCCTGGGCTCAACTGCGGTCATAAATCGAGAACTACCTGCACCTTCATTAAAAAAAAAACAACCCTACAATTGCTAGGCCTGTTATCATTTTGGGGTTGCTCAGGATTTATATAATGTCTTTGCAGTGATTCAAAGCACTTCCGATGCACCTTCTCCATTACCTTTACAACAACCCTGTGAGGAAGACATTCCATCATTGCAGTTGGCCTTTGGTGGTAGCCTTTGAACCTGCCTAATATCATTTGGGGCCTTTTTTCCCCACATATATGATCTGAACTGGGACCTTCTCACAACGTGGCTCATACCAGGGATGGGCTTCAAAAATGTTAGCAAGGGGTTCTCTGTCTGGTTGCTGGGTGGGCGTGGCCATGGTGGGCGTGGCCTAGTTGGCCTCCTGCACCACGGAGGGGAGGATGCGTTTTTGCCCTTCCTGGGCCATGGAAGCTTTCCTTGAGCCTCCGGAAGGGAGAAAACGGCCTCCCCAGGCTCCAGGGGCCCTCTGGAGGCACTCTTCCCGAACTTTCGGTGGGCCCGTTTTTCAGCCTCCCTGAGCCTCCATGCGTGCCCTGCTCTTACCTACATCCAAAAAGGGCCGCGTGGGGACTCCTGAGAGGGGAGGGATGGCAGAGCCAGCCAGGTGTGGGATTTGGGGGTTCTCCGAATTGCACAGAATCTTAGCTAGGGGTTCTCTCGAACCACTGCGAACCCCCAGCAGCCCCACCCCTGGCTCATACTCTACCCATGACTAACATGATTGTTCCAAAAACGAATCCAACCTTAAGATGGGCGTTTATTTTTTTTGAAATGCACCCAGGCTTGGCTCCTGATACGTTATTGGAGATTCCAGGAGAACTGCATACTGGAAAATGCCATCACAGCGTCAGAGTGCTGGTGCAGTCGACATAATTGAATTTCATCATCTTTTCAGTTCATTTTGGGTGAGAAGATGTGAAGGGTCATCATCAGTGCTAGAAGGGAATGGGGTTTGTGGAGAGGAGGAGGAGAGGAGAAGGAAGGAAGAAAGAGAAGGAGAAAAGGAGGAGGATGGGAGGAGGAGGAGGAAGAGAAGGAAGAGGAGGAGAAGGATTAGAAGAGGAGGAGGAGGACGAAAAAGAAAAAAGAAAAAAGAAAGAGAGAGGGAAAGAAAGAAAGAAAGAAAGAAAGAAAGAAAGAAAGAAAGAAAGAAGAAAGAAAAAAAGAAAGGTTGGAGTGTAGTCAGTGGTGAAATCCAATTTTTTTTACTACCGGTTTAATGTAAATGAAGCGGGCTCTGATAGATGACCACTGGATAACTTTCTATTCACTCTATTATAAAAAGCAATGCATCCGGTTGGAAAAAGTACAAACTCAGCCAAAATCTTTTTGGTACCTCTAGGAGGCCTCTAAGTTGTCAGAAGAAAGGAACATTCTAATGACATGCAGCTTAAAGGTTGGTTAGGTCAAGGGGATCCACATGAGTTAAAAGTTGTCTATCGTCAGAAGATGATTTGAGTCTATGCTTCAGTAATCTACAAAAAGAATTATAACTGTTTTGCAAAGAAACTCAGTAATTAGGAAATGTCAATTAAAAATGACAAATGTATATGACCATATGAATTGCTGAGTTAACAGAATCCTTTGTCTAGAAGGGTATAAAACCATTGTACCTAATTTCTGTCTTTGTTCAACGCTTCATGTACAGAGCCTTGAACCTATTGCGCAATATACAAATTGTCTCTGATTAACCCAAAAGTTGTGTTTGTCTTATTAAATCCACAACAGGTTCTGTGGGCATGGCTTGATGGGCATGGTGT